CTTCATTCAGGTTGCATCCAAAGGGGGAAGTGGACCAATACCTAAAGTAGACCAAAGTACTCAAAAGTGTTTTAACCCTGGTTTCCCATCAAGCCATGTGCTGTCATGCAGCCTGCAGACAGGACCAACATAGACAGTGTTCCCCTAGGTGCTCACCTAACAGTATGCAAAGCCATCATATGCCATGGGACATCTGATCAGAATTTTGCATACTTACGATTATTTAAACTTTTCATTGCATGGTAACATCATTATAAAATGTTATTGCCAGCATTCTCTGCACAAGATGATTAAATATTCTTTATGTCTGGTTCTGGTAGAGTGACTATAGAGCTTTGCTACAAGATTGTTAATCTGCTTGCCTCAATTCATTGCTAAACAATCAGAACAGGAAGATAGAAGGTTGAGAAGAACTAAGAGCTCATACCCTGGGAAAACAACAAAAACCCCAAAACAAAACAAAATAAAACAAAGCCAAAATTGGCCTGAAGCTTGAGGGAACAGTGAGAACTGAAGACACACAAATGACTTTTGGCTTCAAATACCTTCCCACAACCTCCAGCTGATTTCAGCTTCTGACCCTACTATAGGTTGCCATTCTAGTAACTACTAATGACTGTTGCTTGCAAGTATCTGCCCACTTTTTGAACCCAGGTAAGTCTCTTCCCTTCACAATGTCCCTCAGCAGAATCTCACAGACTTTCTACTCATTGCACAAACAACCACAAACCTGTGTTTGTTTTGAATCATGGCCTCATGCAAGTCATCTGATGACTCCTACCTCTTTGCATTAGAGAAAGCAACAAATGCCTCCTAACTCTCCCTATGACATCCGTGACTTTGCAGAACTTTCTCATCAACCCTCCAAGTCATCTCTAACCTAAAGTTCAAATGCACAAAAGCCATTTCATACTTCCACTTATCACTGATTGCAAGCTCTCAACCTTCTCTAGTTCTCATTCCTTCATGTAAAACAGGACACACCACAATTGTACAGAGTCTTCAATACACATGCGAATTTGAGATTTATAGTGTGGTAGCATAAAGGTCTTCTCTGCTTTCATCATTGTCCCTTTCCTAATAATTTCTCATGCTCCCTTTATCTTTTTTGCTCCTACTGAGCACTAATGTCATTTAAGGGAACTATCTATCGTAATCCTAGATCTCAGTCCTGACTGGTGCTGACAGGTACAGTGCCTCACCACCCCAACATCCAGCACAGAGCCCATTTTTTCAGTTATGGAGCTCTGACTGTTTTGCCTCATGCATATCATGTAGTATTTATCAACACTGAATTTCACCTGCAATTCCATTACATTCCACATAGGAATATATTAAATGGCACACATCATAATGTCTGCTGCAGTGTGACGCCTATGACCAACTGAAAAAAGGATTAAAAAAAGTGCCATAAATCTCATACACTACCCAGACCTGATTCACTGAGGGATCATAAAATCATAGAATAGAATCACTGAATCATAAAATAGTTAGGGTTGGAAAGGACCTTAAGATCATCTAGTTCCAACCCCCCTGCCATGGGCAGGGACACCTCACACTAAACCATCTCACCCAAGGCTTCGTCCAACCTGGTCTTGAGCACTGCCAGGGATGGAGCATTCACAACCTCTGTGGGCAACCCATTACAGTGCCCCACCACCCTAACAAGAAAGAATTTCCGCCTTATATCCAATCTGAACTTCCCCTGTTTTAAGTTTTAACCCATTACCCCTTGTCCTGCCACTACAGTCTCTAATGAACTGTCCATCCCCAGCATCCCTATAGGCCCCCTTCAGATACTGGAAGGCTGAGATGAGGTCTCCACGTAGACTTCTCCAGGCTGAACAGCCCCAACTTTCTCAGCCTATCTTCATACAGGAGGTGCTCCAGTCCCCTGACCCTCCTCGTGGCCCTTCTCTAGACTTGTTCCAACAGTTCCATGTCCTTTTTATGTTGAGGACACTAGAACTGCACACAATACTCCAAGTGAGGTCTCACGAGAGCAGAGCAGAGGGGCAGGATCACCTCCTTCGACCTGCTGGTCACACTCCTTTTGATGCAGCCCAGGATGTGATTGGCTTGCTGGGCTGCAAGCGCACACTGCCAACTCATGTTCATTTTCTTATCAACCAACACCCCCAAGTCCTTCTCCGCAGGGCTGCTCTGAATCTCTTCTTTGCCCAACCTGATGCTGTGCCTGGGATTGCTCCAACCCAGGTGTAGGACCTTGCACTTGGCATGGTTAAACTTCATGAGGTTGGCATCAGCCCACCTCACAAGCATGTCAAGGTCCCTCTGGATGGCATTCCTTCCCTCCAGCGGATCAACTGAACCACACAGCTTGGTGTCATCGGCAGACTTGCTGAGGGTGCACTCAATCCCACTGTCCATGTCAGTGACAAAGATGTTAAACAAGACCAGTCCCAACAGTGATCCTTGAGGGACACCATTCGTTACTGGTCTCCAGGTGGACATTGAGCCACTGACCACAACTCTTTGTGTGCGGCCATCCAGCCAGTTCTTTATCCACTGAATGGTCTGTCTATCAAATTGATGTCTCTCCAATTTAGAGACAAGGATGTTGTGTGGGACGGTGTCGAACGCTTTACACAAGTCCAGGTAGATGACATCAACTGCTCTAAATCATGACCATCCTATGCAGTGAATGAGACAGAAGCCCACTGGGAAAAAAAGGTATTATTTAACAAAACCCCACATAATTACTATAGTACATACCTGGGGAAGAAATACTATTATTTTAATCACCCAAATTTGAACTGCATGGCTCTGCAACATTAATACCATATCTACTATGATTAATTAGTGACATGGTTTAGTGGTGGACTTGGCAGTCCTGGAGTAAAAGTTGGACCTAATGATCTTGGAGGTCTTTTCCTAGTTGATTCTATCATTCTAATTGCATCAAGTTACAAACCAGGTGATTAAGCTGTCTGAGCTGTGGTTTGTAGCCTTGTATTTTTGTATTGATTACAGATGGGCAGCCTTGCTCCAGCTCAGTCTCCTGAGACTCCCCAGCACACACTTTTCCTGTTAGATTTGCTGCAGAACCTTCTTACTGTTCTTTAAGTCACCCAGGACAATGATCTGTTATGCAGAACTAGCTTAAATGGCAACATAAAGAAAAAAAGTACTTATGAATGTTACGGATGATGGGGTTTTTTTTGAATATTCCCATGCTTTGATATTCCTTCAATTGATTGCGTACTTGTAGATTTTATTTCTGTTTTACTTCAATGCTACAAATATTGAAAAGCTGTGCTTTTAACAGTACAAAAGCAGTAGTTCTTACTTGAATTGATCCTAGGGGGGAAAAAACAGTGTATTTTACTGCATTTTTTGAACAGTATGTAAACATACTGGAATTAATTCGTACTGCAAAATGATCCCTTTGTAGTGCCTAATTCCAAAGCCAGAGATCATTAATCATTTCAAACAAAAATTTTGCTAAATGCATGTTTCTGACAGGTTCATAAAGTTGCTAAAACTATCATTACTCTCTTGTGATCATCTAAAGATCACAGAAGTACGCAAGAGTAACAAAGGCACTGATCTATGTTTATCCAGAAATTATTTTCTCATGATGCCTACTCACTCATCAAGTGGATGACCACAACTTTAGACACAGTGAATACAAAAACCAACTGTAATCAGTGGTGACAATTTACTGACCTGCACAGAATTTCATGAGTGATTTTGAGATGACAGTCTACAAAGCAGTTTCTTGACATTCCAACAATTATAATGGAAAAAAGTCAGATGTTAATTTACAGTTGAAGTATGTTTTTCCCTACAAAATCAAAATGAACCATGGGCTTCAGTGTGCCAATGCAAAGTGAAAGTGATTTTATGGACTTTTAAAGGAGTTGTGTTTTATTTGTAACATAACCTAGGACAGGCCTCAGTGGAAGACACTAATATATCAAAGGGTACACAGCAAGGCAGCAAGCAAATTGAGAACTTAAATCAAGTAATTTCAGTTGCACTAAATACCTCCAGTCAGCAGACAACATAGCTGCTTTCTAAGGAATATAGAGTTCACGCTTGCCATAATTTATTTAAGCACAACTGCTCTTATGTATACCAAACTTGAACATAAGAAAGGTAATTTTCAAAATAAAAACCTTAAATTTTAAGTGAATAGTAAAAAATAAATAAAAAAAGGTATGATTGAGATGTTTAGCCAACTGCATATATGTAAAATATTAATCTTTGAGTAATAGGCTGAACTAGAAATATCAATGAAATAGCTGAATACAGGAATCCAATCAATAGATGGTGAACTGAAAATGTTGAGTGATAAATATAATTCTGATTTAAGTCAAAAAGAAAAGCTACCATTGGTTTACACCATGATTGTTCAAAACCTCACTGATTTGGCAGTTTCCTTAGATTCTACAAAACAAAGGCACAGAAGCTCACCCATTTCTTGAAGGTATGTGGTATAGTATGCACTCCACATTTGCTAGGTTTCGTGTTTTGTTCTAAATATATTTCTGAATAAATTCTCATCCTTTCCCTCCTTCAGGTTTATGTTGTGGTGGTTGCTGGCAAGTCCCCAGGACAGTGTGTTATATAAACAGCCTAAAAGATGATTTTACTCATTGGTGACATGAATTGCTTCATTCGTCAGAGTTTCCAGGCTGTCACAGCAGGTATGCGTGTGGTGGATGTATCTGATCATCCTGTCCTGAGTTGTTTTAGTCATTCTTATGGGTCAATTTCACTTTCAAATTAAATGCATTACAAGTATTTTCATAATGTCCATATAACTGGAAGTCAAGATGCCAACTATCTGTGAATGATGTACTGCAGTGTCCACACAAAGGCCAGGTTTCCAGACTCAAACCACCAGCAGACTAAAGTAACAAATCGGAGACTATTTAGGATTCAGGTAAGTATGTTCATAAGAAATATTTAATATACCTTCTGAGACCTATGGATCTTATTGTTACCTCTCTTTTGCGCAGCATATTTCTCACCTGGTGGACTCCCATGCCCTGCTGCAGCTGTAGCAATGGCAAAAGCAGAAGCAGGAGAGACCGAACAGTGGGTGTTGTCAGCAGTTTGGACTGTAAAGGAAAGGCAGGGAAAAGTTAGCAACTTCTATGTACTTTTTTGTATTTTTCAAGTTAAGCAACAATAAGATATTAAATCTTCACTAATGTTTTTCTTTGTGAACATTTTATGCTTTCATTGCAAGAGGCCTTTATGTTAAGGGAAATAAAAATATCCTATTAACATTTGTGATTTAAGTTTTATTTCCATTTCACTATAATTAATGTTGCTATGGAAAAAATATCTAAGACACTGCCAAGGTGAGGAATAAGCAGTAATCAAATGGCAAAAGGGGGGAGAGACAAAAAAGGGGGGGGGGAAGGGTGAGACAGAACCAATGGTGTAGAAAAGAAACCTAAACAAAAAATCATATTAGAGAACTAAGCACGTACACCAACTACTGATAGCTAGGTTCACCTGTTTTCCCAGTTCACTGTCTAGGGTGAGTACAGTTTTGCAAATTGTATTAGGCTTTCTCTATAGTTAATGCTATGAAAATTGTTTCTGACTACAACTCATATAAGAGGCAGTGTTCCACAGAGATTCCAACTCCCAAATCTTGCCATCGCACCATGAAAGTGCCCAGTAACAGATGATTACTATTGGTTTGAAATTAAATGTCTCAGCAACTTCCTAGCAGTTGATTAGACTCTACTCCGGTTTTGTTTTAATTTCAAGCATGAAATAGCTGCCTAGAAATCTGGCTTGCATGAGATGGCAACATTTTAAGCATTCATGGACGTAGCTCACAGATCTGCTAATGGTTACAAAGAGCCATGTGAGAGCTATTCGAGGAGCTCCAGCTCTCAGTTTCCTTTTCAGTTGAGCAGTTTATTCAAATTTTGGAATGAATAATGTGACACCATCTGTAAATGTTCAGTGTTATACAAAGAAACAAGTCACAGCCACTCCCCATTAACGATCATGGGTGTTGTGTATTTCATGATTACATATGGTGCCCAAAATATGCCCCTTAGTAGCTGAGAGAAATCTGTGATGGTTTTGAGATTTTTGTTAGAATAGGACTTATTCAATATCAGTCTTGAACTTTGGCACATCCTGCTTGAACTATTTAAGAACATTTTATCACAGCGAAGTCCCAGTATGCTTCCATACATTACTATACAAATTAACCAGTGTAATTCACATTCTAATAGCTTTTTTTTTTTCAATACCTGAGAAATAAGAAAAATACAAACAGAACATATTAATCAAGCATCATTCTTTTCTAACACCCTGCAAAGATTACAGCTGCAGTATTTAAACTCTTCTAAAGTGACTGACGGGAAAGAAACATCAGGTTCTCACCTCCTGGCTGACGATAGCGGAGATGACGTGGTGTCGAAGGGGATCTACATGGGGAAAGCTCTGCGGTGTCCACTGCTGAGGTGCTTTCAGGAATTGTCCGGTCCACTGACACAGACTCTAGAACTGCTGCTTTAAAACAGAATCAATGTTAATATAGGGATGCTCATGCATAATTTACAACTCTTTCATGCGTATAAACGTGTATAGGACTTGATAATCCTAAATGTATTTTCCAACCTAGTTGGTAGTCTGATTCTATGGTTTTATATTAGTGTATATTAATGCAATAATATAGTATCTAAAAATAAATATGTAACAACTTAATTATCAGATATATTGTATTATAATGTGTTACATTAATTTTATTATATTCATGTATTTATAAAGTACAAATGTTCTTTGAAAATATGAAGAGGCCACAGGCAACTACGGTATGGGGATTTAAGATATGCTTTTTTAAGGAACAAGAGCATAGTCTGATTAGTTTGTCTTACAGATATTGAGTGCCTCTGCAAGATTTTAGAGTATGTGGATGTTTGCAAACACCTAAAGACGGAAAGTCTGCAAGTGATAAACTTTGAACAATGTGAGCTGTGCTGCATTGATAAAAAAGAATATGGGCATCAAAGGGGACTTCACTTGTTTAAAAAATTAAATTTAAATAATTGAAAGCACTTAATACCAGTATTTCAATACCAGCCTAGTACCACTAAATACCTTCTAACGCAAAGTTGTTGATGTTTAATCTCTGGTATATAGCTGCTTTAAATGGTACTGTTTCTGGAATTTTTGCATTAGGAAGACTCAGTAATAATTATCCTTTGGGTGGAGTTAAAGGACTGGAAAAGTTTTGCACCAATGGCATAGCCACATAAAAGTTCATAAATAAAGAACTTGGTGAAAATCATCAAATTGTCAATTTTCAAAATATCTTGGAGAAGACAGCAGAATTTGCAGTGGAACACACATGTAATAAGGGTAATTGAAGTCATAGGTTTTATATGAGCTAGGAAAAGTTTTCTGTGTTGGAAAACTGTGTGTAACTAAAACCTCCTTAATGATATAGCCAAACAGCCCTGGAAGGTGTATTACTCTATGAAGAAGTTCTTCTATTAGAAGAACAAAAGTGGAATGGCAGAAATACAACTCCTGAAATGAGGGAAAAGAGGCTGATAAAATGTATCATAGATTTGATATGAATGACAACTGTGACTGCAGCACAAACGTTATATATAGAATATATATATAAAAAAAACTTTGTAAACAAAAAACTTTCAAAAAAAAACAACAGCCTTGAAAGTAGGTGAAGAAGGTGACTCCAGGATGGAAATGGACAACACTGAAGGAAGACAACCACCATAATAATATGTCCTGGGGAGCAGAATCTGTATGGTTATATTGGATTTAGATCAAGCCACAGTTGTTTTCTTGAAAATGAGGCACTACCAGAGCAACAGTATTAACTGTAATGGGTTGGTAGCTCCTGGTTAAGTAGAACTGGCCTCCTTACCCAGGAAACTTCAGAAGTGAAGAAGCACATTATGTATGAAAAGAAACATGCAGATTAACTTTTTGTAGTTCTATTACTACCCGTCTCCATTCTCCTTGTGAGATTTTTTTCTAAACTTACTTCTCTTCCCCAACATGCTACATGCAGCTGGGTGACAAAAGGACTTTCCCCTGCAGAACTGAGCTACCTCTCTCCAAACTCCAAACGGAGTGCAAACTGCTCCCCAGAGGGACTGGAGACACTGCACAGAGGGTTATTTAGCATTTATATGAGGTTCTTGCCATTTCCAAATGTTCCTTACACTGCCCAGATGACACTTCCAGCTTTGATAGACTGGAATACAAAATACAAATACCTATGCAGCCATGCCTACTGCTAACACTAGGCCAGAATAATCTATTCTTTACTAGTTTCCTTTACAGTATGTAGCAAAGAACATTATGTCTGATACTGCAGTTACCTGTGTACAATTAATTTTAATGCATGCTGTATATTTTGGGACATGTTGTGCTATCATATTGATTTGAATGTGGTTATATTAACACACAAGAAGAATTTGCTCAAATGTGCATACTAAATACTATATTTTACATATATAAACAGTCTGTTACACTACTCATTTAATAACATCAAGTGTACAGAAATATAAGGATTAAGTGTAACAGCCAATCAGCATTTTATGAAAGCATAAAGCATCGGCAAGCATAGACTCCTATAATGCTAAGGTGGCTAAATTGCCTGTTAAAAGCATTCTTCTGTTAAACAATTGACTGCATTCTGTAAAAGCAATCCTTCTGAATAGTACACGGCCAAATGTCTTACCAGGGCACTTATTTCAATTCATCAGTAAGGAACAGCTTTTCTCAGTTTATGGTTGGTAATCTTTTACTTCTTTCCCCTCAGATTATATCAATTTTAATTGTTACAAGTACTTGCAAGTAAAGCTGAGTTAAATTTTGCTTAGATTCAAAGTTCAAATTCCTCAGACTGTAAGTCAGGCCATGTAAGATCATTTCTAAACATGAACTTCAGGAACAAAACAGATTTTTTTTTAATTATTATTTCCTTATTTTCTGTTCAATGTAACAAAGATTAGAAAAAAATACCATATAGTTCTAATTCACTCCATCCCTTCATACCGAAAGAGCAATGAGAAATAAGCACACACTTCTGCATCCTATGAGATTAGAGCTACTTTCTCTATGAGAAAGTATGCCTTCTGTGAGATTAGAGCTTTGCCATCTATAAATACAATGATCCCCTTCTAGATGCCAACATTGAGGTTTTTATCAACTAACTTCAGACCTCTGGAAGCAGTAGCTATTCCAAGGTGCCTTACACAATCCACAGAGGAAAACAGGCTTCCACACAGGAGCAATTAATCTATTTTAGACATCTACCTTCTGGATGGATTACAACCAAGTGGTATGAATAGCACCAATGTAGCAAGTACATAACATAAATTATTTGTTTGGGTCAGTTTCTGGAAAACTAGTCCTGTTATGTAAATATGTTAAAGCTGTTCTGTCTTTACATCCCTATTTCTTTCTAACTTAATGTTTTATTTCCTACAGTAACAGTGCAACCCCAAGATCTTTCGCTTCAGGAAACACAACTGGCCTCAAATATTTCCTTCTGCCATTCTCCTTATCACTCTCCTGAAGTGAAAACAAACACGCTGCTTTTCCTACAAAGAAGGAAAACAAACAACTCATCACAGCTTCTACTAGAGAAGAAACAGAGAGCAAAGTACGGTTTCATAACACAACTTGCGTTGATAAGGAGTTAAAAAGAGATGTGCAAAACAATTCAGCAGTGATCTGATAGAAGTCAAGCCTACCTTAGAGACAGCACCATTTATCAAAAAAAGCTTTCAGTATTTTGTGGGTATATAATACCTCTTCGAATGCTTCTCCTCAACTTGTTACAGAGGTCAACACGAGGGTTCTCCAGGCTGTCCTCTATGGAGCCAGGGCTTTGCTCAGGAGAGGAGGGCCCCCTGCTAAGGTCCAGCGGTACTTTGCTACCTGACGGTGGTGGGGAAGTGGCTGGGCTGTAGGTTGAGGTAGGACTGCTTGCCACAGATGAAGCAGAGAGGTCAAGGGCACCAATCCGTGAATTCAGTGGTGAGGTCAGTGACAGTTTTCGGGCTCTGACAGGTGAGGATGTTCTGGAGAGTGACAAGGGGGGAGGAGAAGAAAACTTGCGACAGAGATGTGGTGACTTCCCATCGGCCAGGTATTCTCCTCTATTGTTTTGACTAGTAACAAAGAACAACTCCAGAGACCTGAGAGTAAGAAACAAAAAAAGCAAAAGATGATAACAAATGCCAAATAGGTTTAAGAATGAAAATACTTGCAAACAAGTTTTGGACAAATATGCATGGTACTGCAAAATCTGTATGACACTTAGCCCTCAAAGCCTAGGAAGAAGGTTGAGACGGACTTACCTGAAAACTTACACCTTATTAACAAAGAAAAAACCTTATTCTTAGTTAACTTATGTAATATAAAATGATGGTAAAACCCACCAAACAAAAAACCAAAACCCAACAAACTAAAACCCAACAAATTACAATTCCATAAGACATCTATGATTAAAAGTGAAAATCCTCAGAGCTCACCTGACAGGAATAGAAGTAAAGGGCCGTCTGTATATGTCTGAAAGTTTTTCCAGCACCACAGCTGCAGTAGTAAATATGCGGTAAGTATGTAGGAAAGTATTCAGAAAATCAATGCTTAGAAATCGCAGGTCTGTTAGACGCTCCAAAATGCGCTCAACACTTGCGTAACGGATTTGGGGTACTTTGCAGGAATTCAGTGTTTTGCTGAAGCAGATATCAATGTCATCTCTATGAAGACGAGCATCAGATCTACACAAAAATTAAATTTAGAACAATTCACCAAAAACCTGATGATCTTGAAGGTCTTATCCAACCTAACTGATTCTATGTTTCTATGATCATGGTACATGGCATCATTTTAACTGCTCCTGTCAACATAAAAGCATCGAATATCCATGCATTCTTGTATTTCAACACCACCAGGAAAATGTTAATCTCTCACGACACCTGCTTCCATTCAGTTATAATTTATGCCATAACCAAGGGAATTTAAATTTTATTTCTGGCAAATAATTAATTTACATTTCAAAGTCTAAGAAACCATTAATAATTAAATTTCTGAAATGAACAGGAGGTAGATTTGTCCCCTCTTGTCTCTTTCAGGCTGCTGTGGCTTGTACACTAATATTATTAAAAGCTCACTATAGAATAATAGTGGACTGACTGCATTTTTTCTGCTGGGATCTAGCTTTATCTAAAATAAACCAATGGCCCCTAGCAAAAGACAGCACAATTAGCCTGTTAGTGAAACTTAAGTCTCACCTGCAAGGTAACACTTGCTGTCAGGCTCCAAGAATTACTTTTATTTTTTAAAAAGAAAAGGGAACAGCATGAAATATCTCAAATTTCAGAGCAGAAATCATGGCGAGTCTTTGTTTCAGTGGAAAAGAAAAAGGACTAAATTTGGTTTGGACATCAAACAAAAATCAGTCATTTACATAATTCTACTCATAATGCCATTTCTCCAATTTAGATTTGCTTAACTTTATCTAGTTGAAGGCCTAGTTTGTAAAGAAAAAAAAGAAAAAAGTATGGATATTAAGTAAATCATCTTTCCATATTGCCATACCTTTTAGTTAAAAATTATTGGATTTTCTTACAATACAGTATGAAGACATTCCACACACTTATACATTGAATTACATGTAACTTATACATTACAAAACAATTATTCTTTCTTAAGTTGAATCCTCAGGAAAGCAGCTTTGGCTTTGTTTTTGTTTTTTTATTTCATCCAAAGACATGTGATTCTCAAAGTCAATGTGTACTGAAAATCGGATGATTTGCTTCGCAGGAGAAAAACACCAAATTTGTGCTATTAGGATCCTGTATGGTTTTTAGAATTGAGTTCTTTCTCTTGACATCGGGAGTAAGACCTTGCTTTACTCCTCAGTTTGAAAACAGGTGAATGTATTTTTAACATTCAGCAGGTAACAGAAGTGTTTACACACTGGGGAGTTCCTGAAATAAAACTGAAGACAACAAAATGCTTTTTTTCCAGGGATCAAAGGTATGGGCTCTTTCACTGTATTCACACATTATCTCTTTTTCATTTCATATACAAAGAGAAGCAACAACTACAAGACGCATCTGAGAAAACTTCATAAACAGAGTACATCCAAGAGAGAGTAATGGCCTAGTGACAGATAACAGTAAGAAAAGATATATTTCTATTCCTAGGTTTTATTCCTTGATATTTATATTGGATAACAGTAGGTAAAACTCATGCAAATACAGATCTGTAGAGGTTTCAAGAGGTAAAATTATGTTAGAAATTGGAACTGAAAATTGCTCTCTACAATAAAAAAAATGCTTTTTTAAAAAATTGAAAGAATTCAAGGGTGAAAGAAGCAAGTTTATGACCAATGATTTTAACTTCATGTGATCAATTAAAACTATGAGAGAAAATTATTTTTTTTTCTCAGAAATAAGAGAAATGGAAGACAAGATTTGGCTAATATAACAAAATAACTTGTAAAATTATACTTGTTTGCAGTCACCTAAATTCTGAATATATTTTAAGGTATATTCAATACAATTAGGAGTGATATGACCAAGAAAAGCTAACAGAAAATAAAATTATTCATCTGATGCATAACTGAAGGCTACTTCACAAATAACATAAAAATCTGATCTGAGCTGTAATCCTGTGGAGTCCAATACTGTGAATTGACAGTTTACCATTTTGAGTCAGTCCTATCATTTCAAGGAAGAGATTTCAAAAGGTACATTTTGGGAAGTAGCGTTAAATCCATTCAATAAAAAATGGGGGGGGGAATTTAAATGGTTGCATTTTCAAAATACACATTCTATTTTGTTAAAAATTTAAAACCAACCAAACAACAAGATATTTAGTACACTGGGGAAAAAATGCTGCACTTACTTGATCATATGTGGCACCGTGACCTTAGAGTTTTCTTCAAACACTATGGTCATTAAACCATTGCACCTTATATTATCAATGCACTAGAAAATGAACATTGAAATCAGTTAAAATCAATACACAATGTAAGGGGACTTCCACACTTTCCCTTCCACACTTTCCGTGTCGCTATAAGCTTAAAGCATAGTTTTTACAGGTATGGACTGATTGGTACAAGGTATTTTCATACATGAAAGTCAGTGAATCAAGATATATAGCAGACAGGCTTCTCTAGTCTTCTGTCTTTGATTTGCACTTCTGCAAGTCCACATGTATTTCCCAGCACATTCAGGCTATTCAGCTCAGCATCTTTTTTTTCACACGAAGAAGTATTTTGAGTTGGAAGTGAAATTTCCTTTGAAATTCCTTTGAAACTGAACAGATTTGAATACCCCCAACAATTAGTGAATGAGTATTAAGCTAGAAAAATCAGTACTGCAGGGAAGTTAAGACTCCTTTATACACGAACAGGTATACTAATACTTAACCTGTACCCTGTGCAAAAAAGACCAAAGAGAAATATAAACAGTTTCTAGAAATGCACCTGTAAAAACAAATTCAAATGGTCCTGTTGTTCTGACACATAGCTATGAGGGTGCTGCCCAAGTAGTTATTTTCAAACTCTTGTATAAATGTTTCAGGTTAGGCATTAGAAGTCGGAAAGACACTTCTGGGCCATGGCCTCAGCACATATTGCTTTAGAAATTGCACGCAGTCCTGTGACCAGTAGAAGCATACAGACTAGGGGTGTGTAAGTTGTTCTTCAAGCCTCAGAAAAGCTCAGTGCTAGTGGCACATAGGGGGAGCTCAAAGCCATTGCTACACCATTATTTTCTGGTTTGTACTTTTATGTAGTTACGACAACCCAGCGCTGTAAGCCTTGCTCTTGGAAGTCAGCATAGAGTCTTCCAGAGGATCAGGCTTATACATTCTGCAACAAGTACTTCCTACCTAATATTGTAAGACTCTTACTTTATAATACTCTGTAGTTTTATTTAAGTATCCTTAAAATATATATGTATATATATATATAAATACTAAGGTACATTTACCTTGACTTCAAGAATAAAAATAGCCTGCTGGCTTTAGAACATCTCATAGCAAAATAATGATTGATGTTAGATTGGTCAAACAAGATAATCAGAGGCTTCATAGTTTTAAAATATATCTACATAGCTATGCATTTAAAATACGATCTATGTAGCTAGATGTGGTTTTAAATTCAGGCATTTAAGATTATTTGAAAAGTGCAGTTTTAACAATTCACATTATGATTTTAGCAAATTGTTACCTAAAAGCACTGAGAAAAACACATCAAATAAAAATACATAATTTCCCCATGTGCATTTTAAATTCACAGAGAAGCCCTTAGCACCTAAGTAAAACTGCCTGAGGTAATTCAGCACTCTTACGCTCAGTCTGCACTGGCCTAGCATTTATCACCTCCCTGACAGTAATGGGGATCCAGGACTAAAGGACAACAAGCTCAAACAAGATGGGAGGCTTCTTCACCATCAACAAAACCCATGCATTTTTCATAAAAATTGCATGGTTTGCTTGAAAGGAATATAAATTCAAGAGGTATCACTAGGAACACAGAGAAAAATATGACCAACATTTCTTCTGCATATAGAATTTAATAAGAAGCTGAAATCTAAACAAGAAGACTAATGCTGTGATGGAATAGCAACTACATGTATACTTTTTTTACTTGGAAACACAGGAAAACACATATTTACTACAAAATATTTTTAGATGCCCTTTTTGTGATCATAACTCCTGTGTTCTTCTTGAGGGTTATACCAAGGACTCAATCATAGAATCAGAATGGTTTGGTTTGGAAGGGGCCATAAGGCTTATCCAGTTCCAGCTCCCTGCCATGGTCAGGGACACCTTCGACTAGACCAGGTTGCTCCAAGCCAGCGTCCAACCTGGCCTTGAACACTGGGAGGAATGGGGCAGCCACAGCTTCTCTGGGCAGCCTGTGCCACGGCCTCACCACCCTCACAGTAAAGAATTTCTTCTTAATACCCAACTTAAATCTTCCCTGTTTAACTCATTGCCCCTTGTCCTGTCACGACAGTCCCCAATGAAGAGCCCCTCTCCAGCATCCTTTATAGGCCCCCTTCAAATGCTGGAAGGGTGCTATGAGGTCTCCACGTAGCCTTCCCTTCTCCAGGCTGAAAAGCCCCAACCTTCCCAGCCTGTCTTCATACAGGAGGTGCTCCAGCCCTCTTATCATCATGGTTTTCAGGAGACCAGTGGTCTCACTCATTTAGACATTCTCATGCATTTTCTATTGTTTCACCCCTAATTTTCTTCCTCCAGCAGAAGACAAGTGGCATGCTTCTTGCAATATTTTCTTCCTCTTTGCTCTCTACATGGAGTATACACAGCATCTTGTGCCCCTTCTTATCCCTTTATCTCTTTTAAGCCACTGCCTATCCCCTCAGCATCTCTTGCTTCCCTTCCTGGAGAAGTCATGTTTACCTGTGCCTTGCTAAAACACTCTCAAGCTTTCTAGGCACACAGCTCTCCAGTCAGCTGTGGTGCTTTTCAGCTCTTCCCCTAAAAGCACAGTAGGGTTGTTTGGAGCTGAAGCAGTTTGGAGGAGAAGAGCTGGACTTTGGAAGCAGACCCAACTCTGATCTCTAGTCTACAAGGACTGCATTTGACTTTCTCATTTAAATTTAATATTACTTAGGCTAAGAATGGGCTTATTCCTGTGCATCCCATGTTCCAAGCTAGTTCTTAGGCAGTCTTTCTTACACCCCAAATAATTCCAATACTTTCCTATTTAAATGGAACAGCATACATGCTGAAAATCCATTTTGTAAAAAATCTCCAAGCAGGTCAGTCTGTAAGACCTGTATGCATTGAGGTGCAGCTCAGACTATATTTTGAGATTTGTATCTCTTTATTTTTGTTCCTTTACAATAGTCCAGAAGAAAGTAACTCAAAATACTTATTTTTAAGCAATTTCTACTAATTATGACTCCAATTCACCTGGAGATGTTACCAGCAATAGTAGCATCTTTAGAAATCCGTCAAATTCCACACGGATACTTGTCTAATCAACTGTTTATCTTAATATTGATAGAAAATAGGACTCAAATTCAGAACTGTGAGAGAACGATGTACTGTGTCCCATGGCAGGGCTTGGAACTAAATGAGCTTTAAGTTCTCTTCCAACCCAAATAATTTTGTGCTTCTGTAACTCTATAAACAAAACAGCAATGCCTTAATTCATACCTGGTTGCCTGAAAGTTCAGATTTTTCACAGTGCATTCAATTTCTTTCCCCAGATAGATTCCCGTAAAAGTTTTTCTGCTATGTTTTTAGCCAAAAGCACTCTTCTTATTTTTTTTATCCTTGACATTGAAGTATTTTAAATCACAATTTTTCTTCATTCATGATAAAGACAACTGCACATTGCTAGAATGCTCAGTAATTATTAATAATGGTTTGTTAGTATTCTTTTTTGGTGGGAAACAGAGTTTATCTTATTTTCTCACTGCATGGGAGATGTTTATTTATGTGATGTGGTACTGTTTTTACCCTCAGGACTCTCAGATGTTTCCTGATCTGTGTGAAAGTTATGAACAAACAAGTAAATCAAAATACATATCTGGATGGGCTCTCCTTAGGCATAAAATATACTACCATTACTATTATATTTGTCAGCTGACAATTTTGTATTTTACATCCCATCTTTCCCAGTGAGAAACAGATTTCACTGATGACTCAAACATAATTACAGAATTCTGAGGAGAACAGGTAACACTAAGGGGTTTTTGTATATATTACAGCAAATCAGCCCTCAAGAAATCAACATCTCTCCTTTGGATTAGTTTTCAGAAGTGCAAAATAAACTAAGATTTCAATACAAACATTAATACATTAAACTACCTGACTTATGTCACTTGTCCATGCAGCTTTCTCCTGTCGTGATGGGGCTAAAAGGACAACAGTAAAAGAAGGAGCATCTGTAGGTTCAACTACAAGCTTGAAATCAAGGTGTCCAAACACTTGTCCAGAACTTTTTGCTTTACAGCCAGAGGAGAGAAAAAAACCCAACAGTCAAAATGAAAGACTTCAGACTGTAAGACAAAGAATACTTTTTTCATTTAAAACTGGAGTTACTTTAAAACATCTCGCTGTCAAACAGCAAACCCAACTGTGAATCCAAAATTCATATGCAAAATTAAAAAAAAAGTTGCAAACATGCAATACTGGGAAGTTGCTGTACATTACTTTTAAATATACCAAGTAAGGCTAAAGTCCTTCTACACTGCTATGTTGATATACCCTCAGTATACGAGAAGTACCAGTGGAATTAAAGAAAACTGATTTCAGAATTCAAGTGCAAAACTTGCCTAAAACTGCAGGATGGAAGACAAAATTAGTAACATTAAAATCAGCCTGAGATTGTGTTTTATTTTATTTGAGCATGCCTGCAATTAAGATTTGTAGGGTCTCCAAAACAAAAACTTTCCACTAATTCTGCCAACTTAATCAATCCCCATGTATTTAAGAAACCCAATTAGCTACTGGTTCTTTAAGGCATACTTTTTTCTTTCCAACATTCTCTGGGTGAAGCTGTAATATAAAAGTCAGCAAATAATTTCCCACATTCCTTCAGTCAGTCTACTTGAAACTCCTATGTGGGATGTCAACAGAAAGAACAAACATAGCAACAAAACCCTCTTATCTATGCCACCACATCTGTTACTAAAACATCTATTCTACTGAAGCACTTCAACACTATTCCTCAGGTTTTACAAAAAGGGAACACATACCAATTTGCTCCTGTGAAGAATAAACAAAGGGTACCAATTTAAAGAAACTAGAAACTGTAATTATTACAAACAGCTGAGCTTAACTTACAATCATCATCACTTGCTTCTGTCTCCTCGATCAGTGTGCACTCTATTAAAGACAGAACACCTCCTGTCTATGAAAACAAAGCACATTTTTCACAGACTTTTTTATATGTTTCTTTCCTTTTTACATTTCTTATTACAGTTATTTTTAAACATTGATATACTTTAAAATTTTGCATTAAAATTTTTAGGAAGATACATCAATTTCATGATACATTTTTTTACTGAAGAACTGCACCCAGACAAATTAGATATAACTTTTTCCTTAATCCAACAAATCAACAATATACTCTTATGTATATTTTTTTTCATTTTTACCACACTGTAATTTATCTCACATACAGACTTGTTCACAAATATTAAAAAAGGTAACTAGAATTTCATCTTCCCCTGAATTTAAATAAAATACATAGAAGATTTTTTTTAAAGTTTGGTTATACTCTATTTACTTTGCAAAATATTTTAACTATTTAAGGGGTGAAAAGTGAGAAAGCATGCAAACAGTCTTAAAAACCTCTCAGGAATGTCTTTATCAAATTAAAATTCTATTCAACATAATCCATTCTGTAAACTACCAACACTTCTTTATTCACAAGCCAACACCATGAAAGCTTGATTCTTCACAAATATGACTGGAGTGTTCTTAGAAGAGCTTTCATCTTAAGAGAATGTGCTGTTTGACTTGTAAAAATAATTTTCTTAGAGCTCTTGAAAATATTCCTTGGTAATTCCAAGGGGTTGTACTGCCTATCTTATGCACTGAAAACTGATATTCAGTGCTAGCTTATAAAAATAGACACAACAGAAATGAGACAAATAGGTCTTGTTTCTAACTCCCAGCTTATTAGAATTACATGCTCTTAGGGAAAAAAAAAATGTAGTTAGCAAGAACTCTGGCTAAATTCTATTATTTGTAATGAACAGGAAAAGCAGTTAACTACTCTGCACCACTTTGATTCTATCCATAACAACATATGCAAATGTCAGGTTAAAGCCATAAAGTAATGAAATATTGAAGTTGTGTTTTCATTTTGTAAATTGAGTTAGAAGGTAAAGTCTGTACCTTGAGAAGATGCAGCTTTCCTCCCGAACTTCTTGTACAAATTAAAAAATGTTTTGTAAATAAGAAGCACTGCCTTTCTCCTTCTTTCTTCAAAGATAATGATCCCAGGCGAACTTTACTAAGTTTTCCCCTTTCAACTGAAGGGACTTGAATAAGGGAACCTGATAATAAGATTCAAAATTTACTGTACCATAGTAATACTTAGTGTTTAAAGTGTTAATGCATTGAATATCATATTTTTATTTAACGCAGCTTTTCATTATAGTACATATCAATATACATCAGCATCTGTTTTAAAGACAAGTCAATCCCCTTTTTATGTAAAAGTTCACTTTATTTTTTGTTATAACTAGACTCAAGCAAGTATATATAGACAAATGCATGGCAGGATTAGATCTTGGCCGAATTCTTATGCAATCTAAACACACTAATCGTACTTTGATCAGAAAATGAAGCTGAATAGCAAGCTGCACTTTTGACAGCTGCTAGACTTGCAAAAGATGTATTACTTACAAGCCATAGAGGCAGAGGATGAAAAGAACAGGTTTTGAAGCAAAAGAGTTTGCGTGTGTGTGCCTGTGTGCAAGAGAGATGGAAATGAAGCCCATTTCTTATCTTCTGCTGCATAATTTTCAGTGCTCCACAGCTCATCTAAAATGTGTTACCAGTAAAATACTTCTGAACTGAATTGAACTTGCTTATATAAGTCTGAATTTGTGCTATGCAGAACTCCAGACTGGGGACAACTTTGCTCCTCTGACATTTCATACCTCAAAACCAGTCTCTGACCAACTTTTCCAGATTGGTAACACCACATGTATCACTTCTGAATTTGGATCTGGAGTTAAATTTGTTAGTAAAGTGCAATTCTTCTATATATCAAAGGGAAGGATTTTAGATACAACTGTTACCAGACAGTGCAGCCAAAAGACCTCCTAATCTCTTTCCAACATGTCTATCCTTACTATCACACCGGCTCTCCCTTATTCCAACATTAGCTACCTAATAGAGCTAAACCAGCAGGAAACTAATGCTGCAAAGAAGCAGCTGACTTAATTCCCTGATATCCCTCACTTGAAATGTCAAAAAATCACCAGTGATGATGCAAAGGAAGTTAAAAGCAGCAGAACAAGCATGAGGGGATGGATATTGGCCTTCCTCTTCCAGAGGCAACAAGATATTGACTAGTGCTGTATCAATGCTCGAACTAGTGGCAAGCATGGACGAAAGAATCACCCATGAAATATTAATTACTAATTCTTATTCTACATTGTCACATAAATAATCTTATTCAAAGTTCATATGCAGAGTCTTAAACAAAGAAATTAAAGTAACTGAGAAAGCTACTGTTCATCTATATTTTTTTTACACTTAGCTCCCTCTATATATTTAATTAACTTTAAGTTATTAATATATTTGAAGCTCACACTGTCTGGCATAGCAAGATATACACCAGTAAATATGCAACAGAACACTGTTCTTTGAGAGACAATTCACAATTAAACTAAATGTGTACAAAGTGATTTGTGTCATTGCAACAGAACAGTGAAGTAGTAGTCCAGAGATCTGCAAAGGTCTGGAACATATTTTGTATTCACTTAAATTCTGACCAAAACCCACAGATACTTATTGGTTGTTGCACATTTCCTCCAGACTAAACAACGTACCTGCCCCAACTTTGAATGACAGGAAGGAGATCATTCCCATGTGTTGGAACAGTGGCTTTTCCATTCTATACTGACTCCCCCCTAGGTCACATTGCAAGGTGAAGTATTGTGTAAAAACGATTCCCAAACAACCTCCCATCACAAAATTCTCAGTGTCATTTTTATTTTTCTCCTGAAGTTCCCTCTACACATATAGGGTAACCATATTCAACCTGTATGTCTTATTTCTGCTTTGCTTCTTAGAATAACAGTATCTATAAGTATGATGTGCTTACAGGTTAAGCTTTACAGGTACACAGGTACAGGTAGCTTCTTTTTTTTTTTCATTTTCATTAGAATTCTTTAGGAATACCATATTATGTTCTGCTAAAACGGGCTGAACGTTTTGAAATGTTATTATTTAGTAAGGTAAATAAGAACAGATTTTTTTAAATGCCGAAACAAGAAACTGCATTATTTTGCTTTGATATTCAATATTTACAGAGGGAAACACATACACGCTGCATGGCTGACATCAAGCAAGGACATAATGCATTCCTATCAAGTTTTTGTGCTTAATGAAACTGGGCGTTTGCCTACTATGCATTCTATTACAGATTTCCTCTTAAGGAAAACAGTGGTCATGACTGGCTGATGTACAGTTGCAGTGAGCAAGTGAGCCTAATTTTAGAAAATTCATTAATAGTATAGCTGTAATCTCAGGAATTTTTATCCCGCTACAAACCTAAGCACTTTCAGTACTCCAGTGCTGCCAGAATAGTCACTCCATTACCCTTTGTTCAATCCAAGAAATACAAAAGGTTGTATTAAAAAAAAAAAAAAAGGCTAAAAGCTTACATTTTTAACTGCATGATTTACAAATCTAAAGTTTGTGTTTCTCCATTCTGGAGGTCTTTTAATTTTACCATAAAGATGGTGTGTCAGTAACAATAGGTAATGGTCCATGGTGAAACACACAAAAGTAGAACAGTACTGTCTGGCATGGGTTGTGGGAACATAACCTTGAAAACAGGGAGTTAACACCATTGTTAGCAAAAGGGAGTCTCATACTAGTTGCAAGACATATAAGATAATGGTCCTTGCTGTCTCCTTCCCAAAAATCCCCTAAAAGTCCTGAACCCCAGAGACCCTTTTGGTATAGCTGGCTACTCCTTCCAGTGTAGGCTGGCCCCCTACGTCAGAATGAGTGTATATTTTTGCTAGTATAAAAGCCCAAGCCTCATGAAATGAGGGGAGGTAGAACTTCAAACTACCGAGGTCAATGTTGCCTCCGCAGGGACGCCCACTAAGGTTGAGCCTGCCACCTCGCACTGCAGTGATGTCTCTCAGAGCTCATTTCCTGATCATCATCACGTGGTCTTTAGGGCTGCTAAGATGAACACTCACCAAAAATACCCATCACTGTTTCTTTAACCCGTTGCCAGCTATTTCTCCCTATATTTTTGTATAATACTAAACTAGCTGTTTTTTTTATCTATTGCCTCTCTCTCAACCTGGAATCCCCAAACTCTGGAACAGATGGTCAAACACTGGAACAGGTTGCTCATTCCAAAAGGCTGTGGAGTCTCTATCCCTCAAAAGAACCAAAACCTGACAGGACATGGAACAAAGCAACCTGCTCCAGCTGATGTTGCTTTGAACAGACGAGACTGGACTGGATAATTTCCAGAAATCTCTTTGAAGTTCAACTACTCCATGATTTTGCAATCGTGATGTATTTATCAGTAAAGCTGAATTAATAACAGCCAATGGCAGGAATATCAGACAGAGTGTTTAGAGGTATCTAAAGGGCCTTGAGATGCCCTGTTGTCTGGGTGTCAGCCAATGTTGGATTGCATTTTGGGACTCCTTATGTTTCCTTTAGACTCTAAAAGAATATGTTCCTTAATTGTCTGCCAAGACTTACAGGATGCCTGGCAATGAAGGCTGTATCTAAGCAAGAGACAGAGAAAAGCAGACCTAAAGAAACCTGAAGGGGAATCCATGATCTACATTGCAAAGCACTGCCAGAGACAGTTCCCATGGTCTTAACTTGCATAGCTCAACAGAATCAATCTCTTCTTAGAAAAATAAAATATATAAAACATAGCAAAATTGTAATATGCCTTCACAGAAAAAGCCTGAAAAAAAGGTAAAGGCACATCTCTTCTCTTTTCAGCTGAAAAGTGGTTTCCTGTACCAATCTACACTGATCAATACAAAGAATAGGAGCATAATCAAAAGTAGAGGAGGTGCATATCACAGTCAGAGTGACCCTACTGTCATGTGTGAAAGGAAAAAGCACTCTGTGTTATTTCGTTAGCTCTATTCAGATTTTTGCACTCACAAAATCACATGCAGTGGATGTTCGAAAAGCCTTCTGTACAGCCCCTGTAGCCTACAGTCTTATCCATCATCCTTTGACTGTATGCCCAGAAAGAAATCTGAATTTAATTTACTTAAACTATTTGTTTAAGTTTGACCAAACTGGAGAGTTTGACCTGGGTCTAACCCTTCAACAGTAATCTTTTTCAGACTGATTCCCCAGAAAAAATAGTAAGATTTTACTGAAGAAACATTGGGTACACAGACAAAATAATACCAGTCAATCTTAAGAAGGAAAGCCCCAACAAATATATAAATATGAAATATTGTAATCACCTTGAAAAAATAAAAAAATTAATTAAATTTCATGGTTAAAGTCAATCTAGGATTATCACAGCCCTATAATGTTTTGGCTGTAGATACAATATAACAGCTCTATGTTTTTCTTAAAGCCATATGCATAACTCTTTAAATACCTCAGTTACAACAAATACACATTTAACGAAGACTCAAGAAATTTAATAGTGACTGTCATACAAACAATCTTGGCGGTTATTACAGAAAGTTTCATAGATTGGTCATATGACTACAGAAACAGCGTAGAATAGATCTCAAAATGTATACAAAACCTATTAATTAACAACTGTGTATGCAGCTCTATTAAATACCAACTGTTCTGCTGAGGCTCATGAAAAGACCTCATGAAAGGATGCACCTAAATTACATTCCTAATACATATAATGCTTTTCAGACACAAAGAAGTTTTTCCCAGTCCAAACTCTATACTACATACAGATCTGTAGTTACTGTATACAAAACTACTGACTTGTTTTTAAAAGTTCCAGAAGGAAATTATACATATGGGAGGAAAAAAAAAAAAGGTAAACCTCACCAAATAAGAAGTGCAACCAGATTGAAGTTCCTAGTAAAAAGTTGACATTTATTTTAAATGGAAGAGTTATTTTACCACAATTTTGTGGAACTTAACAACAAATTCTTCTGCTATAACTAAATTTCAATAAAAAGAATTTCCAAACCCACCAAGAATAGACAAAAATGAATACAGTATGGCTCTTTCCCTCTTGTTTTACTAACTATTGTATTAGTAGTCTTACATTCCTGGCAGAACAGGAAGCCTTTTCTTCATGAATTCTTGTGTACAGGTGCTTTTTATATCTATCCTGAACTTCTACAAAAGCCCCAAAATGAGCATTTCAAGGGCAAAATGAGTATGCTCAGCTACAACATCCATGGTCACACTGTCATTGAGCTGTTTTCAAAGCACCAAAAAAGATGGGAACAATTGACAGCTCTTTTCTTTCCTAGCAATTACTTTACCACTTGCAAAGCTTCAAGTTTCTCCTGCACCTTTGCCTGAATGTTGGTATCAGCTGGGACTGCCATGTTAACTGGCTAAGCAGTCCTGGTCTATGGAGCTGTAGGTAATTTCTATCCCTTTGAAGATCACTGTCCAGGCAGAACCTACATTACTGGTGTTATACTATTTATGTGCTGCTGGTTTTCATGGCTCTTAAAGAAAAGAGCACAGAAGTGAGGTTCCACTACAGCCCAGAATTAGTTGTCATCAGGGTATTTTGTGACTTGCCCTCCACAGACCACCAATAGTCTTAGGATGTTAGCTATGCCCAACACAGTGACCTGATGAACCCTGTTGGGTTTAGTACAGTTTTGTCATTATTATATAGATAGCTTTAAAAAAGAATGTCTTACCCTGGCGTATAAAGGTTTGACTGGTATCTAGTAATATATCACAGCCTTCTACTATAGTTCTTTCTATGGCTAGATTCTTCCGGATGTTTTCTGTGTCGCTGACTTCATCATGCATCACCCTGTTAGGCACAATACAAAATGCACTTTAAATTCTGGAATGTATCTTGTACCTGTTGTGTCTATTTTCACTTGCACTTACACAGCCAGCTGCATACATGTGCAGTACATAATCACTCTAGACCAAGCTTCTTACCTGTTTTTTCCCTCCCTTTCAAATAATTTTTGCAGTAATTTAATTTTTTTCAGCAGTAGAAACAATTTTGTTAGACTTCTTTTTACATTATTCCTTAGAACATTTGGAAGATGCCACCAAGCTAAAAACCCCTCACTCCTGGTAGAACAGTACTTCTTGATCCTTAATAGACTAGGCTGCTATGACCCTGGAAGTGTTTTCTAGCACTTTGTGTTACCTATATAACACATCGTAGAGTCTCTGCCCATGACTTAAGGTTCCCACTCTGCTCTGCTTCAATTTCCATCTCAATGTACCATTCACTTAAACCTTGATTCCTGTAAAAACCACACAAATGCTGTTGATGGCTTACCACCTACTTTATTCAACTTATTTTCACAAGCAACCTTCCCTTACACAGAGATATATAGACCTTTTTCAAGGCTAAAATCAACCCAGATGTTTATACAGTGTTATGATGCATAATATTTTCCTAAATTGGGACTGCACTATCTGAAAGCTCCCCCTCCATCAGAACTATAGATAGAAATTAGTCACAAAGTTTTGTACGTATGGTCTATAGTGCCTGCCTTATAAACAGAGAAAACATCAATCAGTCTCAGCCTCAATTTTGAGCACTCAGTGATGAGTTAGTTGGCTCAGCAATGAACTCTGACTTCTGAGTTGAATACAAGTCAAAGCTTATCTGCTTATGTATAAAATAATATACATAATTATATTATTTTATGTATAAAATAATATCTCTCTGGCCAGAGAAATTCTTTGCTTTGCTTGACTGGATAGGAGTCATTACTTCCTTTTCCTTCAGATGGCCTTGGAACAGGGCAGAACATACTCAACACCGCAGGAATCAAACTCAAGCATTTCTGTAGAAGATACTCCCTTCCCCACTCTTCAAGAAGTTCAAGCTTGAAGAGGTGGCACAACATGACCTGCCTCAGATAGCTGCCTCTGTTACATATACAGCAAGACTGAAAAGGAAAAAATAATAAGCTCTAAATTAACAAGTGGTTAGCACATGGTAGCAACTTTGTCTTAACAGAATAAAGAAAACTGAGCAGTCAAGAGCATGAAATTAACAAAAACTATAAATTGATCCCTATTTTACATACTTTGGGAATATTTAAGTATTTCCAAAGTACATTCTTGGTGAATACTCCAGATACCCTAGATTTATATCCTGGAGTTTATGCATCATTTTCTTTGTTCACAGCAGCAACTTTTGTCTCCCAGAGATAACAACCAAATTTCTTACTGGGCTGATAGAGGCGAACACCCAAGAATGGTCTGAGAGTTTAGGGAAGAGCTTAATTTTGCAGGCTTCTACAGGGAGCACCAGTTCTCTAAAGCTACCTTTAATTTCTGTTTATCTGGCATTATCTGAAGCATATGTGAAAATCACTTATTTCATTAATGCACATAAACTATAACACAGATTGAGAACTCAGTACTTTTCAAGACGCACTATCACAGAGTATTGAAAATGCCCTCCTTTAAACTGTAAAAAATATAGATATATTTCTCTACATAAACAGAATTGCTTTGCTCAAAACCCAGAAGCAGGCAGTTCCTATGGCAACTCAGATTCTCCCCTACCCAAAATACCAGTACACACTTGCAGATTTATGTTTGCCAAACAAAAAACAGAAAGGAGTGTGACCAGCAGGTCGAAGGAGGTGATCCTGCCTCTCTACTCTGCTCTCGTGAGGCCTCATTTGGAGTATTGTATGCAGTTCTGGTGTCCTCAACATAAAAAGGACATGGATCTGCTGGAACAAGTCCAGAGGAGGGCCACGAGAATGACCAGGGGACTGGAGCACCTCCCATATGAAGACAGGCTGAGAAAGTTGGGGTTGTTCAGCCTGGAGAAGAGAAGGCTGTGTGGAGACCTCATAGCAGCCTTCCAGTATCTGAAGGGGGCATATAGGGATGCTGGGGATGGACTCTTCATTAGGGACTGTAATGGTAGGAAAAGGGGTAATGGGTTAAAACTTAAAACAGGGGAAGTTCAGATTGGATATAAGGAGGAAATTCTTTCCTGTTAGTGTGGTGAGGCACTGGAATAGGTTGCCCAGGGAGGTTGTGAATGCTCCATCCCTGGCAGTGTTCAAGACCAGGTTTGATGAGGCCTTGGGTAATATGGTTTAGAGCGAGGTGTCCCTGCCCATGGCAGGGGGGTTGGAACTTGATGATCTTAAGGTCCTTTCCAGCCCTAACTATTCTATGATTCTATTCTAGGATTCTAAAAGACAAAATAGTAGGATGGATATTTGGGGTTTTATTTTTCATTACCTTTGTTTTGTTTTGGTTTTGATCCTTTTCTTCAGAAGAATTTTTTTTTTAAAATAACAGAACCAAACCAAAATAAAGAAAATAGACTTTTCATTTCAAAACCTTTTGATACAAGATTATCAAGCATTAGAAAGGTAGAAAAATCTTACCTTGAAAGTTCTTCTAGTTTAGATTTAGCAAATTCAAGGCTTTTTCTCTCAACATGTTCATGTGGTGTGTGAGCCAGTAGTTCATGAAGTGATATAATATACCTAGGAATCTTAAAACAAATTAAGTATGAAGTAAGTAAGTCTATAAAGGAATAACTCCAGTACAGCTTTTTTGCTAAATATTAGCCATTAACTTTATCAGAAAAGTTTTGCAAACACAGTATTTTTTTAAATGAATATTCACAGCTACATGATTATTACATACATTCTAAATGTAACTATTACTGAACTCTTAGGTGACAGAGATTGTGTATGTATATGTATGTTTTCAGTTTGAGGAAGCACTAGATCCATTTAATACATTCTAAGGAAAAGTTCAGATCAGAGGCAGCCACAAGGATGACATTAAATTTCATTGATTCAAGCTGCTATTCCACTGCCAATAAAGAAAACTTTCAAAACTCCCTCGGAGATCCACAAGCCTTCTCTCAGTTGGAATAGGATATGTGCATCTAATTTTCTTGTGAATTTGAAAACATCAGCTAACCCGTTTGCATTTAGAAAAAGCTCACATTTCACTAATGGACACTGAAGAATATGCAGTATTTGGCTATTAAAGACTATAGGGTAACACAATAACCCTGATCCATTTATTATGACTTCAAGCAGTTTCAGGGCTTTTAACCAGAAACAAGAGATACTGCAGTATAACTTGTCTTTATAGATAAAAGTTCTTTGAGAGAAGGAGATGTGACTTATTATGGTGAAATTAAAAGTCATTAGCAATTATATCCTCCATCACATATGACTAGGATCCTCTCTCTCCCTTCTAAGATCCCATAACCTTCTTTTATCTCAAACAAAAAATCCCAAAACTGTACAATATGTAAGTTCTACATTAAAAAAAAGAGAAATTGTTAATAACTAGCACTAGCACAAGTATCACTGACACCGAGGGAGTTCACTATTCTTTTGATGAGTAAAATACTAGGCTAAATGTAAAACGCACAAAACCATCAGACCAGTGTTTCACAAACCTCTTAAGACAGCTGCAAGTTATTAATCCAGGCAGATCAAGACAAAATATTAGGATAAATAAAGTTCTTAAAACTTCTGCAATATAATTTTCTAAAGATCAAGTCACTGGAGAACAAAGTGTCAGGAAAGGTTAAAAATGTATTCCTATTAAAATGTTTGTGGTTACCCTAACTTGCTATACTAGATATATTATTCCTCTCTGGCCTGTTTCATAATCCTGTAGCAGGCAGAAGTAGAGCGATTGTTTCTCAGCTTTTTTACTTTTAGTCTTCATCGCACATTCTCCTTCAACAATTCTCAGTAGACATGAAGCAGTACAGTTGGGGAAAATATCTCTACAGGCAAAGGTTCAGCATAATAACAAAATAAATTAAAAACAGATTAATTTGCATGAAAGTGGTTTTAGTTAAGCAAGAAGAATCTTCAATCAGTTGTAATGCCAGCAACACAAAATGAATCAACCAAGCATTAAGAACAAATAGTCACAGAAAATATACAGAGACTACCTGAAACATGGGGTAAGTAAGGAAAGTTTCCAGCATTCTCCCCTCACATGCTGGGTTGGCTTCATATTGCTTCAAGAGTTTGTCAAAATCTCTGTTTTGCTTACAGTTTGCCAGTACTTGTAGACTATATTGATGATTCCGAACAAATTCTTGATATATGTTCAGCATTGGCAGTAGAATGTCAAATAGATCAGCTAGAAAAAGTCAAGAAATGCTTTTTTTTTTCTCAGCTATCCATCCCTTGAAAGACATTTTTAAAGAAACTACTATGTTCTATAGAAGTGGATTACTATAATCAGTTCTGTTTCAAATACACTGATATTTCAGAAATATTAAAGTTGGCTCTTTTACCTGCAAAACATGGTTGTTCTGATTAGCTATTAACCCGACAATATCACAGAAAATTCCAGGACCCATGTCTAATCAATGTTTAGGGTAGAGTCACTCATATATCAACTGGAACACAGGCATTACTGCCCGCGTGGGACTCCCACTATACCAGATCTTGTGGTGGTAGTTCTGGAAATGCGTTTCATTCAAAGAGGACTTTAGAAAATCGTCTTTAAAAAAAAAACCAACCAACCAAACAAACAAAATCAAGCAAACCCCAAACCTTACTGTAATTTCAAAACTAAATATGAAAATTGTACCTCTAGATAAAATATAGTAACTTACCTAGGATTAAGGTAGGCCAGTTAGCTATTCTTGCTTTTAAGCCTTGGTGAAATATCTCATGAAGAAACATGATAGTTTCACTGAAAAAATAAGTATTTAAACAAAAAGATTATTCAGGTTTTATTTTCTGATTAATAATTCACAGAAAAACACCTCTTCTGGTTAGTAGTATGTTTTGCATCTGAAGACAGTTATTATTAAGCAAGTAAGTGCTTACTTTTGTTGCATGGATTAAAAATTTGAGTGTAGCATACCTAAAAAATGCATAGTATTTGGTGCATAAAGCATATTCTGTCTGTTCAGATCTTTTAAATAAAATCATCCATTAAATAACATTACATAGTTTCATGAATAGGTTTTCTAAGAATATCCTTGACAATGTATTCAGTTGTTTAAGAGGACCAGTAAGACGCAGAAACCTCAAGCCAATGGTAGTCATCTACAATGTTTAAGATCTGAAGTTTACAGCTTTTCTGTAACATCAACCTCAATACTGTATTTTAGCTTATGAGGTCAACAGAAGTAGGGGACATCCCAGTTTTAAGAAAAACCATAGAGTATAGTGATCGTGAATAAGCTATGAAAGGGAAACTTGTCTCATAACAAAAGGAACACATTCCATTTATTAAATGCTTGGGGCAGACTTGGATGCAATCCCAAGCCTGTATCAAATGTTAGATGCCTGCTGGCTTTTTTGTACATACTCATTACTGCAGTATTTGGATGCTTACTGCAAAGAGCAATTCATGTTTTTGTAGGATATGAAAAGACAAGTGAGAGGGAAGGAGGCTCTTTAGGCAGGACAACAGAAAATAGAAGATTTGATGTACGCTCCTTAGGGTCTTATCTGGATTATATGAGGCCACTAAGTCCGATTTTGCTCTCTTAAGAGTAAAAGAAACAGGAAAGGTGGCACAAAATTATAAGAACTGTCCCAAGAGGCATAATTTGTCATTTTTTCTTTTTTCTTCCTCTAGCAGAGGAAGAAATAGAATGTAAGGAGACAAAGAGGTCTAGCTGGTTTCAAACAGTGTCACCAACAGCAACTTGCCTTATACCCTGGAAACATTGTCTCAGTGACATTGCTTCCATTTGAGAAAAAAACAAAACAAAACAAACAAGCGCCAGATCTCACTACTGTAAACTGAAGGCTAATGGGAAGAAGTGGTCAGCGAAACCCACAGAAAGCAAACAAAAATCCCCATACCTGTTGAGGAAAATGCTGCTAACATCATCGTGACTGATAGGTGGCTTCTTTGAACTTGCAGCCATTCTTAAGGGCCGCAGAAAACAGTTCACAAGAACATAAAGTTGATGTACGTATTCAGATTCAGCCTCCACCATGTTAAAAACTATCTGATTCCTTTTTCTCATGCTTTCTGCATGGGGAGAGCAAATATAATCTTGGACAATAGTTTTCCATTTTCTTCTGCATAACCACCCCCGCATAAAGCTCTGGACCTAAAAGTGAACCAAGCAGAAAACAAGAATCAGAAAAAAAATCACATAAATTATGATGAGCTCTTCCTTGTAGAACTAAGACTGTAAATGAAATACCTCTGTTTAAAAACCAAACAAACAAGCCCTTATTGATCTATAATTGTTCCTGATTTTTTTTTTTTTTAATTAGATTTCCTACAATCATTTGGTCATACTTGTTGCCAGGAAACAAACTGAGATGATATTCCATCCATACCAAAGTATCTTTTACTGCAAGCTCAAGCACTGTACATACTTTTCCCATCATGCACAACCATGCTACACACTGTGCAGGCTTTTTATCTCCTTTTACCTCCCTTTACACATTTATGTTATAACTCCTACGGTATTGTGCAATGCTTCCAGGTAACGCATTTTAAGACAGACATCTTTGCTGACATAATACTAAAATAGCTGTTTTCAGTTCTGAATAGGAATCACTTAGCATGTGTATTTAAAGCTATGTATCAATATACTGCTTAGTACCAGACATCTAGGCCAGAAATATTACTATCAAGAAGAAACAGATTTTTGGCATTCTTAAAAAGCACCTCTGTGGCATGGAAAAATCTACTTAAGCATAATACCCATTGAAGTTACAAGTAGATTAAAGATTACAGAAAAAGTCTATATATGATCACAGAAAATTTCTGTATGTCTTTGTCCTGATGATGTGGAGATCATTCATCTTGAAAGAGAAATGCAGAATCTCACTGGTAGCAGTTTACTTTGAACAAATAACTTTTTAAAAAGGGTCCAATTGTCAAAACAATCAAGATTTAGAATGCTGTGAATTACGTACAAAATCAGAGCTCTCCTTCTACTAAAAGAGACATTTCTAGCTTCTCCTACAATGCTTAATGCACGTGAAAATGAAAATTCACGCAAGCTCAGTGCTGACCCTGACTTAAGACCCCATGAGCCAGAAAAAGTCACAAACTAAGTGCACACCCCATAAAGGATATTATGCAATTCAAGAAACTGAACACTGTAAGAATAAGGGTAACACGTATGGAACCACATCTTCTAGTGTGAATTCCATACATGCTGCTGCACTAGAACTTGAGAGAGTCAGTGATGGGCAAAGTTCTGGAGGCTCGTTATAGCCAGTCTTAAGCAGTAATGCCAAAAGCTGCATATGTAAATGCCATACAGAGTGGGACAATTCTGTCCTTGGTATGAAGAACATTGACCATAGCATCCTGAAAAAATCACCATCAAACAGAGCAGGGGACAACCTAAACCAGTCTGCTCTCTGCATTTGTAATATTTGCATTCCAGCTTCAGTGGCAGAATAAAGGTCATTCTCTTACATCTTTTTAAGCATTTTCATAAGAAAGGAGTATAAAGTCATTCTACACTTGATTCCAGAGCACACTGCCCATTACTTCACTTCAGCCTTAACAAGCAGTTGAGCACAATGTGCAAATTTCTTTAAGAAACTGAATATCTATCTTGCAAGTAATAATGAATACATAAGTAACAAATACACCATGGGATAAACGTGGCACTGAAACATAGGAAGCTGATGTAATCTGAGGTTTAAATAAGGGTAGAGCAAAAGGAATCTTGCTATTTGACTGTACTCAATGAAAAATAAATGAAGACAAAACTAGACAGACTAAAATACAGAAGTGCACCCACATCCCACCCTTCTCAAGAAAATTACCTTTTTAATTTTTTTAATATCTGGGTTCTCATCTTCCTGGTTGCCTTGATAAGGCCGCATTCTTTCTTTTGTTTTGTTGAGAGCTACAATCTGACAAAAACAATGATTCATTAAATGCTCTCTCAAGCTAATGAGATTCACAGTTACAGAAGCAACAGAAAAAAATATAGAAAAAATATTGAAAAAATAAATATTCAAAAATGTTGAAAAAAGCATTTAGCCAAGGGTTTGCAGGGAGACTATCACATATTAACCTTACTGGTTTTTGTTAGTTTCACAAATATTACAGAAATATTGAATATTATTGCAATGCAAAGAGCAAAATGTTGTAATTCATAGAAACACAGATTGGTTTGGGTTGGAATGGACCTTAAAGCTCATTCAGTTCCAACCCCCTGCCATGGTCACAGACACCTTTCACTAGATTGGGTTGCTCCAAGCCCCATCCAACCTGGTCTTGAACACTTTTAGGCATGGGGCAGGCACAGCTTCCCAGGGACTGCTTGATGACTGTGGCACATACCTCAGATTTAAGTCTTTCAATTTCTGTGTCTTGATCTTCAAGCTGATGTCGAAGCTGATTAGCTGCAATCTTTTCAGTCTCTACAATCTGGACAAGATGAATGTACTTCTGCATTAACACCTCCCTTTCAATGAGAATATCTGAATAACTAAAAGAAAAAACACATTGGTAAAAACAGGCAAATATTGTCTTCCATATCCCCTTATGAGATATTGTCAGAATAAACATTGCATCAATGACAAAACTGCAAAACTGTATTTCTTTGTCTTAATATAAAATTAATAACTTGGTCATAAATCCTCCAAACTTACAGTGTCCAATACCCTTTAAAGACATAGGTGTACCCGGTTTCACAGTACCCAGTTACCGAAAGCAAGACAATTGCACTGATCTGTTTTATGAGTTTCTAACCCTCAGGCTAAGCCCAAGAGTTCTATTAATTCAATTTTTTATGTTAAGGGCTGCTTTTCCCCCTCCCCCATCGTTTTGGGAGGCGATTCATCAGAACTATTTCCAATTCTCTCTACCTGTCATATCTCTTTATAGAAGAATTCCCATCACAGAATCATAGAATCATAGAATACTTAGGGTTGGAAGGGACCTTCAAAGATCACCTAGTTCAACCCTCCTACAATGAGTGGGGACATCTCCAGCTAGATCAGTTTGCTCAGAAAGAACCACATCCAGCCTGACTAACTTACTTAAATTTTCTAACACCTATTTTATTGTTTAGCCCAGTTTGAAATTACTCAAATAAATGCATTTATTCTAATTAATAACAGGAACTATGGTATCAGGTGTTTCTTTTAGGTCTTAGGCAGGAAAATTCCATTGATTTGTATTTTCCTGAAAAGTTATGGTATCCCTAATGCAATTAGGTATCACAATCAGAGCAGTGATAAGCATCATACTGGAGGTGCTGTTCACATCTTCAGGTAAAGGAGGAATCAGTTTCTTCCTATGCAACTTCTTCATCAGACTGCTCTTCCATGTGATTCCGCCCCTCTCACACAGATAACTTAAATGTGCAGAAACTACATGCTTGTTTGCTGGCCTTTATTCAGCAAGATTTACAGACACAGACTGCCTCTTTACCCGAGTTTCAGGAAGCTTATTCCCCTGAGAGTTAAATAACTTTACAAGATATAGACCAACCTGCACAATACACAACAGAACAAAGCCTTTGGTAAGGGATCTCTTTTTCTTTTATGATGTATCATTAAAAACGCTGACTATCATATCTTCTTCCACTGTTCAATTAGCAAAGGATTTGACAAAAGGAATTTCTGGATTGCACATCTTTTCTTTCTACTTCTTACAGCACTCATGAAACAATTGACATTTGCTATTAAATACTGTCAGGATGTTAAAAATGTAATTATGAACATACTCTACATTTAATCATTTTTCATATATATATATTTACTTCCACTTCAATTGGTATTGCGCAGTTATATACCGGAGTGGGCCAATATTGAGTACAGCTGTTAAATTCAACAATTAACCTGGAAAACGAGCTTCGGCTTTTAAAAAGTAGAATAATTTCCCACAGCTGTCATAAAACAAAAGTTTTTCCTCCTTGAATAGATTATGAAAAGAATAAGAAGTTAATTTAATTCTATTGCATGTATTGTTATATTTTGACTACTGCAACAGTAAAAATAAATGACAAAACAAAAGCTCACAGCATCTCCTCCAACAAGTTAAACAACACACATACAAAATCTGTCATTAAGTAATCCATGTATCTTACTGTGCAATAAACAGTAATAAAGTGTGAGATTTAGTTCTTTAAAATTGTTTGATAATAATATTTTTGTTTCTTAAGAATCCTGTTTCTGTCAGAAACCATAGTACATAGTTTCTTTCTCCCGTAAGGGATATTTGTACATGATAAAAAAATTGTATGGGTTAGATATACAACACTGGTTGCTTTACAATGGGAGATGTTAATGAAGACAAAAATTATATGTAACATACGTAAGAAAATGCATTCTTTAGTGTCTGCGGCATCTTGATTTACATTAAAGCGTAGTTTTATCCAGATGCAGATAGGTAACCACCTTTTCTTGTTTGCTATTTTTCAAAATTTTCTTAAACTTTTGGTACCAAATATTTCGAATACAGAATTTGACAGATTTGGCTTTGCTTTTATTCAAGATGGAAGAAATTAGCAGGGCACAGAATCACAAATGGTGAACAGCAGCTGCAATCAGAGCTGATGTAAGACTCGAGGTACTATTATATATGATGTTTTTCTTTCACTTTTTTTATTTTTATTTTCCTCCTTTAGGGGAAGAAACTTCATCGAGGTTTTTCAGTGTCTTTAAATGCATTAAGCCAGATTTCCACAGTCCTGCTTTACTAGGGAAAACAAACTTTGCTATGCAGGACTGAAAAGGTTTTGTGCTTTTGAGATATATGCAGAGTATTTTGCCTAGTCAGTGGCTTTGGCTGTCAAAAATGTCAATATCTGCCTAGAAACCAAACATTTCCTTCACTGCCATAATGAGCAGTATGAAGAGGAGTTAATTAGAAAAGCCGATGTACACCTAACCTATCTTAGAATAGGCTATTCATTTTCCTTCTCAAAAGTGCTACCTGTTCTGGGAAAGGAAAATCCTAAGATTCTGGAATAAATTTCACATGCTTCCAACAGCCCTTTTCAACCATCTCTCTGTATGCATGAGTTAAAGATCATCATGCCCCAAGTGCTAACCTGGATATGCATCATAGTGTCAGGAGCCTTTCAAGAGTGCCGGATTTCAATACTGACTTGATTACACATGCATACAAACTCCTTTGTTAAAGAAAAGTGTCCCAAAGTGTTTAAATGTCAAAGCAAGATGAAAAAATCATACAACAACTTGTAAGCAGCCAACCTAGATCTAGTTCTCTGGCTTGGATATCACTTAATAGAAAGAAGCAACTTAGAAGCAACTGCTGTGAACCACAGCTTTCTATGAAAGGCATTAACATTTCATTGAGAGAATGTGCTATAAATTTATAATAATATCTAGTAAGACTTGAAAGAGCATCCTGAAAGCTGAGGCTATACCTATTTCTAACTATCATCTGTAGAGACAGGACTCAAAGGAGTCCTGGACAAGATATTTCAAGAACCTTAATCTCTGCTTGCCTACCACTACCTAGAGACAGGAAGACTTGAAGAAAGTCCTGAGAGATATGATGCATCATTTATGCCCTGTGAGAGCCAACATGTTCAGAAAATATAGAAAAATGTGTGGAAGTTTAACCAATGCCTCATTATTAGGATCTCCTTGTTGTGGTAGCAAACCAAGGTAAAGGTTCCAGTAGTCCTATCAGCAAATAAAATTGATTTTTGTACCAAATTCAGGACAGAGTTATGGTTCATTGGACCACTCTGTGCTAATTGTACTAAAGACAGCTGCAAGAATCAGGCACTGGTCATATCAAATCATCCTTCTGAAATGCAAAATGGACAACCCAATCAACTCTTTATAAAAGCCATACAATATAGCTTTGGGGATCTGGAAGGCAAAAGAAATGGCTTACATCTGCCCATTCAAATCATATTCAGGTAACTAAAAGACTCCTTAACAAAGGAGATTTTAAAGTCTATTGGCATATGAACAGCCACACTAGAAATGGAAACAGTAAAGGTCACAATACAGTTTATAAAATCCACCCCCATGACTCTAACCAAGGTGACCTGAGGGACTACCTGTACACAAGAACTATTAACTTTAATTAAGTCCTGTATGATAGGGAAATGAAAGGACACCTATGTCTGTGAGGACTACAGAGATGAGGTTTATCAGAAAATACAAAATTAAGATGGGTTTTTAGACATGCAGGGACAACTGTTTAGAAAGTCTATTAAATAGATTGTCTGAGGTTGTCTGCTGATTTCCAGTCAAACTGGTGGAAAATGGCACTTGAGCTGGTGAACAGCTACAGCAACCAGGACTTAGAGGGTGGGTAGGTGGGTATAGGGCTGTGTGATGCATGGGGGAGCATGAGAAGTACGTACCCCCAATGTTTTTTACTGCAATATCCATTTAGTTGAGAAAGGGGAGTACAAACTGGAATAAAGAATATTTGAAGGGTGGCCCAACAGCCATAGGAGGTTTCATGCAGTCAAACCTTGTCAGTTAGGGAATGGCTTACTTTAGGAGCTTGGGTGTGTGGGGAGGGGAACGATACCCTCTTGTGTAAGAATGAGACAATCATGGGAACACATCTCACTAGCCAATGCGTTACTCATCAGACTCACAACTCATACTAAAACCAGGAGTTCCAATTGTCCTCGCACTCCTTTATCTAGGAAAACCTGACTACAGGAATTAATCTACAAACAAACTGGAGCAGAAAGGCACCTTTTTTCATTACACAAAACCACGACATGATTTCAACAGCAGCCATGAAATGCACACTAAATACAATGGAGAGGACACTCCTTGCAGGGCAAGCTGAGACTTCAGAGAGCTGACATGAACTTGCAGCTACTGTCTCCAGAAAATGTGATTGGTGGGACTTCAAATGTTTCCTTAGAAAACAGCTACCACACAAACCTTCTGCACAGCTGTAATTACCTGTATGATCATTCCTTTTGCAGTTCATGCCTGTGTTACCTAAAACTGTCTGCCAAGACCTACAAGCCCCACTCAGGAACTTAAAGAGCCCTCTGCAGCAGCATTGAGATGTCTGCTCCAGCACAAACACATTATAGGGGAAAAAACAGATTTCTATCATGTGCAGTACAAATGCACAGGAGGTATGGTCAAACCCATCAAGATGAGTCAGTGGGAAGGCTCCCCACACCATCTTTCAGGCTGATAAGAGTTACCAACTATATGGGTGTAAAAAATACTATGGGATACAGGGGAAAGCATTTTGGGATTGTGCAAGGTTTGTTACGGGATGTTTAAGGATAAAAGTATGTTTAAAAATCAAAGGCAGGAAAAGGGAGGCATGAAGAAGGTTTGAGGAGGAGGAAGCTTGGAAAAATACAGAGGTAAGGGAATAAAAGTGGATAAAAGTTCACATGTAACCAGTTTGACCAAAACACTTGCCTGGCCATGCTCTGCACTTGATCAGCACAGCCCAATCTGTCTTCTCATTAAACTTCGTTTCTAACTGCTTTCCTTGGTGAGGGGACTCCATATGTACATTCATGGAACCAAAAGTGCCAGCTACTGGAATTGGGACTGAGGGGCCATATGTCCCTCTGTGTCTACAGTGCCAGTTACTCACTGGAGAGTGAGTGTGTATAGTGTGGGTGCATGTATCAGTGTGTGATCACCAGCCTCTGTCATGCCTGGCTAGCTGTGGAGTAGGATTAGTTGCTGGGAAGCCTGCTGTTAGATGTATTAAGTTTAGGTTGGATCATCAGAGACTCTGTGATTTGATGACTGGAGGACACAGGAGATCCAACCCAGCTATCGGGAAGACCATGAGGTCAGGTGGTTGACTAAGAAACTCATTTGTGCATGTGTTTGTGTCTGTCACAGGTGGAGACAAGAACATCCAGTATAGTTACCACCTATACTGAACAAAGAAGTTAAAGTAGTATTTTAGACTATTGCATTAGATTTTTCTTGCCAGCTTAATCAAACAAAATAGAACAGATTTGCTTCAGGGATTAAATTTTGCCTGCATCATGATTTAGAATTTTTTCCTTGAGTTTGTCCTTATTTTTGACAAATGGGACAAGCTTTGCAACTTTTTCTCTGTCACTATTCATTTGATGCTAGCCCAAGATATTTCTGACCATTCTGTCAGGTTTTTGTTTTGAATTGGTATCTTACATTTTGTGTAGCCTTTTGAAGATACTTTTTTTTTTGTAGTATCTCAGATATCTCAGGTAGAAATTCTAGGAGATACTGGGAGCGTTCCCCCTACTGTTAAATTGAAAACAGAACTGTAAACATCCTGTTCTTTGTGACCATGTTGGTGTCCGTGAGAGGGAATTATTTAATTGCTTTCTGGAGGGTCTTATCCTCATGAGTAGCCATGGTAATCCACATTTCAGCTGAGACAAACATGTCGAGCCTTTTTTCTTCCCCCCTCCCCCCCTTTTTCTTAGATCGACATACACAAAATATAATTTTGGATTCTTTTTCATTACTTTTTTGCCAAGTTTGCAGCCATCAAAATCTCTTCCATGTTTTATTTGTTTTGCAAGTCACGAACAGACTGTTGAAAAAAACACGATCCCACTGCACCCCATGTCCCACTCCAGACAAACAGGCACTATGCATGCAAACTGGTATCTAAAGGATTTCCTGCTGTGCACTGTCCATTGTTTCTTGAAAGATTTCACTGGGCATGGGATGTGACTGCTTGCCATTTTGAGGGGTACCGTGCACATGGTTGAGAGCTGACATGCTTTTGTATGCTGCAGCTACATGCTACATTGCCTATATTCCTTTCTGCAGTGCTCTATCCTCATTTGAGAGAGACTGGCTTCTGAGCTTGCAGTGGGAGGTGCAGTATATTTTAATATTATTATTTTGAGTGCCACATCCATGCCTACTTTTCATCTCTTTAATTTTTATTTGAATTCTCAGTGTTTTGAGTTCTCAGTAATGTCCAGGGTGGCAGAATAAGGTTTGCTTCTTCTAAGTTATGTTTCTGGGCTGAAGGACTTACTCCTGGCAAATTTTAATTCCTCTGTCACTGACTGCATGTGGAAGTCCTGTTCTGGGCCTTGTTCCAGAACTTGACCTGTGAAAAGATCTGTTTCACTCACAATACACTGGGTAGACTTTTCACCCTCTCCTACAAATTCCTCTATGGCCTTGTGTTTTTTCTTTTTTTTATTTTTTTTTTTGCATTTAACTCCAAATCTTCTATACTTCTAATATGGATGCAGTACTCATCAAATTTCTCACCCATTTCTACTTTAGCTTATTGGGAAATCTTAAATGAAGTGCTTCAGGCTGTAGTTTCATGTGTGCTGCAGTCCTGCATAATTCCATGTTGTTGCTGAAGGAAGCAGCTGTCCTTCTCATAAGTCAACCATTCATTCCCACACCTTTACCAGACTTTCTCTCATGCAGGCACAAGTGTGAACTTAATTGGGAAACTGGTGCCCACTGAAGGGAATTATGGGTTGGGTTTTTTTTGTCTTCTTAGTATTAATCATCTCAATTCTTCTGGGTCAGCTCAGTGACCATCCACGCAACACACCTGTGTTCATGCACAGGGGAGAGGGAAGTAGATGGATGGGACATGGAAGAGCACGAGTGCTATGTTCGGGGTGGTCCTTCTTTCAGCTAGGTCAGTGTTTAAACTGTATAATGAGCTACTACCTTCCAACTGGTAATTTAAAAAAAGAAAAAAAAAAAAAAGAAAAAAAAAAAGGCTTGCTCTCAGATCTGTTAGCATGCTTTACTTGCTAATGCAGGGTGTATTTTACAAAGTATTTTACAGGCAGTTGTAAGCTCAGTATAGTAGCTCAGAGCTGCCTGGAAGCTCAGACCAAATGCCGTGCTACTAATGCCTTGCTGTTGGAGAAACTGCATAATAAAACTGCAATTTTGTAGTTTCCAGTTGACTGGGAATGGGGGAGAGAGAATTTGAGTAGTGCTCAAAACACGGGCAAAGCAATCTCATATCTGCCTTCCAAATAACATCTGGATAGAGCCACAGGACAAAGTGGTAGGGGTTGCCAGAGCTGACAGGTTGACAGAGGTGAGGCTGCCACCACTCCCTATACCTATGTTGAGCCAGAAGTGAGCGTGGCCATGTAATTCCAGTACAGTGAGCATACATGTTCATACAAACACAGCTGGATGAGGGGATTGACACAGATAGAAACATTCAGCACTCAGTTAGGCACAGACATAACCAGCAGCCTCATCCTGTTCCCACCTCGGACTGATCAGAGAGGGGAATGAAGGTATGTTAGTGGAAAAATAGATGCAGTACAGTATAGGTGCCCCCAGAAAATATCCCTGCAGCCTATCCACTGGTCGAGGAACTGGTCCTGGATGTACTTCAGTGTCCACAGACCCTCTCTAGTTGCTGGTACTCAGTCCCCATCCCTCAAGAGATACGCATTCATCCCCCCTCTTCCTAGCACACTGTGGATCCAGCAATTGGTCTAAGACACCTAATCTACCCCCGTAACCAGCCCTGGACCCGTACTGCCAGTTCCCTCACACACCCACACCATGCACACACATGCGCTGTGGATCCCACATTAACTGATGGACGGGTGTTCCTAAGCCTGCACACATGAACACAAGTAGAGACCCAAACTCTATGCATCTCTCCTGTAACTGCCTTGCAAACTCAGTGTGACTGGTAACTAGGCCTTGAATGTTCTAGTCTCCACTTACACCAGTTTCTTTCTCGATCAGCCAGTGGATTTGCCAATGTGACAGTTGTACACCAAAGCTGTATTTCACTGCCTTCCACATTGTGATGGTGATAATTACTGTTGAGTAAGTTTTGGGTTGCTCTCCTTCACTCTGGAGGGAAGGAGGGCATTGTTGCTAGTCGCAGGGGTGCACCTGGTGTGACTATTAGATGGGTGGGATAGCTAATAGCTCCTCAAGATCTGAAATAATGTGGTTACCAGAGGGCTACCATGCAAAATGTGGTTCACCTAATACCACAGCCCAGCAGGTGCTTTCCAAGAAAGGACAAGACCACATTCAGTTAGGTACCAATGTTAAGAAGAGGATGCAGAACCAAAGACTGGATGCCCAGGTGACACACCCCTGCAGTTTTAGCCTCATTGCACAAGTTCTAAATTATAAACTACTAGCTGGTGGCGTTCATTTTAGTTACAAAGCAAAATCACTTGTGTTTACATGGCTCATGTCCTAAGCAGCTCAGAAACTGCCTGGTTCCTTTTGTGTTACCATGGCATTGTAGATTAGCTGTCTATTAGAGGAGGATGGAGAAAGCACATTTCAGCAGAGACATGTGCCTCCGCAAACCATTTCACAAACCCTCAGTTAGATGATCTGCATTTAGACTATACTGCAAACCTTGCCCATTCTCCATGCAGACCTGCATCTTTGGTCAGGACTTCTGTTTTGAAGTTAAAATTGTATTTGTTGCACTTTATCATCATAATGATTTGACCTCATGTCCTGGTGTTTGCTGGGATTCAGTTATTTTCTTCCTAGTAGCTGTCACAGTGCTGTGGTTTGTCTTCTGTCTGAGAGCAATGCTGATAACACACCTATGGTTTAGTAGTTGCTCGGTAGCATTTGCTCTGATCAAGGACTGTTCAGTATTTCATGCTCTGCCAGTGAGGAGGGGCACAAGAAGATGGGAGGGAGCACAGACAGGACATCTGATCTGAACTAGCCAAAGGGGTATTCAATACAGCAAGTGGCTGTGTGGTGCTTAGCTGACAGCTGGGCTTAAATCACAACACCTACTCTTTCTTACATTTATTTCTATATATGAGTTTTTTAAGAAACACTCATTTATTCACTTGGCATATCACTCTTTCTTCATTTTTACAATAAACATTGCCTCTAACAGAGAACTAATCCTAGGGGTTGTTTTCAGTAAGAGTCTTCTTCTTTAACCAATTTCAACTGGAATACAATCACTCACAAATAATAAAATCATAGAATCATAGAATTGTAGCATGGTTTGCCTTGGGTTGGAAGAGACCTTAAAGCTCATCCAGTTCTAACCCCCTGCCACAGGCAGGGACATCTTCCACTAGACCAGGTTTCTCCAAGCCCTGTCCAGCCTGGTCTTAAATACACATCGATGTAAGCATGAATGATAGGAGGCTTTTTTTCCTATAACATACCTATTAATCACAATACACATCTAATGCACTGTAACATTTCTTGACATCTAGAGACTGAATTTAGATTTTCAAATTTTTATCAATTTATTTACAATAAAATGGAGCTGAGGATTAAAAATCAGGTTTCATACCTAGCTTGGTGAATAGCCTCTACCCATTCATCTCCATCAGCTTCATCGTCACAACGCAGCTCCAGTGGCTTCTGCCCTTCATGACCAAAAAGAACAGTAAAGTAATGCTGCAAATTAGAACAAGAAAAAAAATTAAAAACACATTTAAGTAAAACAGATATATAAAACAAATTAAAAAATCTGAAAAATCTGACTTTTTTAACATAGCTCAAAGCATTGCCAGCCTAGGAAGATGTGTTTTAAGCTCTTAGTCATGAAACATGGATTGAATTTGAAACTATATCCTTAACATATTCCCCTGTGTGTCAAGGTAATAGCTTTCATGGTACTTGTTGTAAGTTACTGTTCATAAGCTCCCATATACAAGACAACAGGCCAGAATTCCCTAAGCAGCTTCTACAACTGACTACAACAGTCTTACTGTAGTGGTGTGCCTGTAGTTCTTTTTCCCTTTCTTTTTTCCCTTAAAATTTTTCTCTAGAAAAATGCCAGCATACAATACCAAATCTGGAACTGCCACCATTTCCTCACAAAAATGCAAAATGTTAACTAGCTCTAGCTTATTTTCTCACTTTTCCAACAGAACTAGGAAAGTGTCCCTTCTCATTCATCACAGTCACAAAACATTTTTGCCTTTCTTTCAAGAAGTCTCACTCATAATTGTCATTGCAATGCCTTTGAAAATGCTGTTCACACGAGTGTCACATTCTTTGATGGCATTTCTTACCTGAAGGATGTTTCTCATGTTTCCATAGAACACAGAATTTCAAGAAAGATTTTGCCACTTTCAGAATGTAGTAATAATATCAATATCTAGTAAAGAGGTGAAAACCCTTAAAACCCATTTCACAAAGTTTGTAATTAAAAGCCTTACATTGCATAGCTTAAGTATTAACTTAAAGCCAGGTAGCAAACAGAATTATTCCAATTCATATAAAAATAGGTGAGAAAATGCTCTACCTAAGTGCACACCTGTAATTTCCATTATATGCAGCCATTAGTAAGCCAGCTGTTTCACAGGTTCACAGGCAGCCTGCTTACACATAAAACCATCTGGTTATTAGGTCCAATGTGATTCAGGAGCTCTTAATACCTAAACATCTCTGCACCAGATCACTCAGTTTTCTTCATTACCTAGAACTTCTCAAACCCTCTTTCACCGTCATTCCAGTTAACAGGGAACCAAGTATAACCATATGTGGCAGCAATTATGAGTCTGACAGTGAACTCCAAACTTGCTACAGTCAGCAAGTCAAGTATATAATTTGCATTCTCCCATGCCATTAACCATTGTGCACAGCAGTAAGAAACCTGAAGTGATGTCAACAAACATTCTGCTTTTCCTCCACGGCTCAGCTGAAAAGCCTCTCTGAGGGAAACACCATGCTGGAGATGAAGCAAATAGCAGCTCAGAATTAAAAGCCATTTCCAAGGCAGGAGGAACACATACGTAAACCAAAATAGAAGGGATGAAATTTTACCTTCAGAGAATTGGCTGCAGATAATGCCAACACTGATAACAAATTTCATCCATATAAAAAGATTATACCAGCCATTTAGTGGCCCCTTCTGAAACATCTGGCAGCCTGATGTACACAAGCTGGCTGCACAGTGTGCACAGAGCAGGTTCAATACACCCCAAATGCACTGGACTCACCACACTGGCTCTAGCACTGTCTGTGCACCTGCATTTGCATCAAGGTTGGTGCCTGGGGACCTCACATTTGCAAAACCCATCTGCCTCCGTGTGCATCTGAGTACACTCATACGTCTGGTTTCTTTTTGGGTAATATGAGGACATTCCTCATATTATGGCATTCCATAAAGAGAAAGCTATTCATTTGAGCATTGTATTGATTTGCTAAACATTGTTACATGTATACAGAACCCCTTTCTTACAGAAGACCACAAGCACTGCAGGATTAGCCACAGACCAACAAAGTAGAAACAAGGCACAGGAAGACATGCCATTCACATTTAACCAGGTATATAAAGTCCATGCTCAGGTGCACTAAGTTTCAGACACAAAACCACATTGGAGCACAGACAACGATCAATAAATCATTAACAGGATTTAAAAAAAAACAATAAACCAACCCCAACAAAAACAAACAAAAACCAAACAAAAAACAAACTGGGTTGTGTTTTTTTTCCAGTGGTTCATATCACTTAAACCTCAATGCCATGAACATAAAGAAATATTTAATCAGGTCCATAGGAATCTTCATAGAAGTGGTAAATAAAAACTTCTATAATAATACAGTACAGTTGAAAACAACCTACAGGGGAGTAAGAAATGCATTAAGATTACACACAAATGCGCTGTGTTTATAACCTGAAATGGTTTATTTTAAAAAGTATATTTAAAGATAAATCACACTGTTCAGAGCTGCATTTTATGTAACAAGTTATTTCTGTTTCATAAAGCTGCTACATATAAAACTAGATTAAAGATAAAAGTGTCGACAAGCACTGGATTTAATCCTGTTGTGTAGGAATTCAAGTTAGAGACAATATTACAGTCCTCCCTCCTTTTTATTTTAAAATGAAGTAACTCAGATGTCTTTTGAGAAAGACTTAGAGGTCTGCAGTTACTTTGGTGGTAAGCATGATCTAAACACTTATTTAGATCAAGAAAATGCACAAAGTTAAACAGAGGGCTACTACAGTAGGACTGGGCTCAAGGGGGGGGGGGGGGGAAGGCAGCTAGATTTTGAAAAGAATTTATTTTCAGAGGCTACTTTAAAATTCATCCACACCATCCACCCCATTCAAAGATGCATACTCCACTCAAGCATCAGTGTCAGCTATTACATCATTTACACAGAAGCAGTCAATTCTAGAGTAAGTGGAGCGCAAAGAAAATACCACAACATGCCTCTAAAAAGAATCTCTAAGTCATCCTTGAATTCTCTTTTTGAAATAAATGTTACTCATTTACAAAACTAATTTACTACAAGAAAATAAGATGTGTATCTGTGATGCATTATTATATTTTCAAGTTGACTATGTATGTGAGTGGGTCTATATGCATATATATTTATATATAGACATATATAATTTTATTACTGCCATTCAATTTGATAAACAGCTTAGCTTCCTTATGACTGCAGTACAGTATCACAGTATCACACACAGTATCACAGTATGTTAGAGATTGGAAGGGACCTCAAAAGATCATCTAGTCCAATCCCCCTGCCGGAGCAGGAACACCTAGATAAGTTTACACAAGAATGTGTCCAGGCGGGTTTTGAATGTCTCCAGAGAAGGAGACTCCACAACCTCTCTGGGCAGCCTGTTCCAGTGTTCTGTCACCCTCACTGAGAAGAATTTTCTTCTCAAGTTTAAGTGGAACCTCTTGTGTTCCAGTTTGTACCCATTGCCCCTTGTCCTATCATTGTTTGCCACTGAGAAGAGCCTGGCTCCATCCTCGTGACACTCCCCCTTTATATATTTATATACACTAATAAGGTCACCCCTCAGTCTCCTCCAAACTATAGAGACCCAGCTCCCTCAGTCTTTCCTCATAAGGGAGATGCTCCACTCCCTTAATCATCTTAGTTGCCCTGCGCTGGACTCTCTCCAGCAGGTCCCTGTCCTTCTTAAACTGAGGGGCCCAGAACTGGACACAATATTCCAGATGAGGTCTCACCAGGGCAGAGTAGAGGGGAAGGAGGACCTCTCTCGACCTACTAACCACCCCCCTTCTAATACACCCCAGGATGCCATTGGCCTTCTTGGCCACAAGGGCACAGTGTTGGCTCATGGTCATCCTGTCGTCCACTAGGACCCCCAGGTCCCTCTCCCCTACACTGCTCTCTAACAGGTCGTTCCCCAACCTATACTGGAACCTGGGGTTGTTCCTGCCCAGATGCAGGACTCTACACTTTCCCTTGTTATATTTCATCAAGTTATTCCCTGCCCAACTCTCCAGCCTGTCCAGGTCTCGCTGGATGGCAGCACAGCCTTCTGGCGTGTCGGCCACTCCTCCCAGCTTAGTGTCATCAGCAAACTTGCTGATAGTACACTCAATTCCCTCATCTAAATCATTGATGAATATATTAAATAATACTGGTCCCAGTACCGACCCTTGAGGCACTCCACTAGATACAGGCCTCCAACTAGACTCCGCCCCATAGACTACAACTCTCTGGCTTCTCTCCTTCAGCCAGTTCACAGTCCACCTCACTACCCGATCATCCAGACCACACTTCCTCAATTTAGCTGCGAGGATGCTGTGGGAGACTGTGTCAAATGCTTTGCTGAAGTCAAGGTAGACCACATCCACCGCTCTGCCATCATCCATCCACCGTGTTATTTCCTCATAAAAGGCTACGAGATTGGTCAAGCATGACTTCCCCTTGGTGAAGCCATGTTGACTGCCTCTCATAACCCTCTTATCCTTGATATGCCTTAAGATGGCACCAAGGATAAGGCGTTCCATCACTTTCCCAGGAATGGAGGTGAGGCTGACTGGTCTATAGTTACCTGGGTCCTCCTTCTTGCCCTTTTTGAAGATGGGAGTGACATTTGCTTTCCTCCAGTCCTCAGGCACCTCTCCCGTTTCCCAAGACTTGGTAAAGATGATGGAGAGCAGTCTAGCAATGACCTCTGCCAGTTCCATCAGCACCCGTGGGTGCATCCCATCTGGACCCATGGATTTATGGATGTCCAGATTGCTCAACTGGTCTTTAACCCATTCCTCATCAACTAAGCAAACCGCTCCGTTGACCTGTCTTCATCTGAGGTCTCAGCGGTACAGGGCTCTTCAGGACTGCCTCCGGCAGAGTAGGCAGAGACAAAGAAGGCATTCAGTAACTCTGCCAGTACTTTTCTGTATGCACACTATTAGTTTCTCTAAGAGGTGACACTAAATATTTAAGAACTATAGGACGTATTTACAACTACCCTCATTATTATTCACTACATCTGTTGGACTACACATTTCAAGGTAAGCCTGTAGTCCAGTTGGATATTTTTTATTATTGTTTATTCAAAAAATCATCATACTCAGATAAGATAAAATGAGCATTCTGTATTTTGATATTAAAAAAAAATCACTGATTGAATTTGAAAGTGTCGTTTCAGTATTCAGGTATGCCCAAGC